ACATATCTCTTTCAACTTTTTCTCACTTTGTTTTAGCTTATGATCTTTAACTTTGTCGCTGTGATCGCTGAGCAGGTTAGTGGATTCAGTTTTGGGGAGTATTGAAAGAATTTTAGGAAATATAACGTAATAGAATAATATTTGTTTAAGGAAAGGAAATGGAAACCCATTTTGACTGATTAAAAGATTACTAGTATTTCATTGTAAAATTGCGGCATAAAATAGCAATGTGTAAAGTTTGAAAGTACCAGAAACAAATAATACCTACTTTTGGACATACCATTTGAGGTCAGCCTACCATATACAGAGAAAATTTTCCACTCGTGCTAAACGACCAAATATAATCCTGACTGAGGATGGATTAGGGGAAACCAAATAACGATTAGCAATAAAATTTGCTTAAATTAACGATAACAATAAATATTTTTTTCCATGTAACGACTACGGTAACAGACAGATGCGATTTGTAGAACGACAATATTTTTAGGCTCATTTGATGATAACAATAACTTATAAAGAGAGCGTTTAAAACTTGACTGAACAGACCATTCCCACCCGCCTGACTATCAAAAAGGTTCAAAAACCTAAACCTAGAGCAAGACCAACCTTTTTTGTTACTATTTTGTGTAATCATGAACATTTTAGTAAAGCACCTTTTTCTTCCGTATTCGTGTCATTGGTCCATTGTACATTACATTTTTCTGATAAATATTTATTAAACTTAATAAAGCCTCACCAATGATACTGTACTCGCAATCTATTCACCATACAATATGTGTAAAATAGGAACATCTTATGATAAGTAACTTTAATTTTGGATGTAACACGTCTTCTGATTGGCTGATTATGATCTGTGCTTTTCTTGGTATTTTCATTTATCTTAATATCTTTTTAGATATTAAATACAACTACCTCCAATTTTATCTAATTAAGACTATTGTGCTAATCCAAATAGAAAAATTAACTCGTCGGAGTACGAAATGGTACCTAAACTTGATTTTTAAATTAAGGAATATATCTCCCTTAAGCAAAGCAGTTAATATTCTTGAAAACTTTACGCACTTTTGCTAAGTTTTAAAAACAACTCAACATTCGACTGTCTCCCATTATTCATACTTTTCAACACTATTGCCTACCTACATATAAATGTGAAAGTATTTTATCTTTTATAAGAATGCAAGTATCTTTAAGAGTAAGTTTATTTAAAGAGGAATATGTATTTTGTCTATACTTTTAGGTCCAATCGGTTAGTGTAAGTCGACAGACGTGAAGATATGTAATGTATTATTAGGATGTTTTCTTTCAGTATGTACTATAGATAAAAATGCAATAAGCCAATTTTAGACTAGGTACCCCTATAAGTCTGGAAATCTCGTGGCTAGTCATATATTTCTTAAACTATGGAAAGTTAAGAATCGAGGTAGGTGACTTAATTAAAAAACGTATGTATTTTGATCTGTATTATATGAAATACTTTTGTGCGTATCTAATTTGGTTTTATTAAAGTCAGAAATAAATAGTGATTTTTTGTCAATAATTTCCTTTTCTAACAAAAGAACTGAGTATAAAGCTAACAGATTTACCGTGTGTTTAAATATTTCAATTCATATTTAAATAGTTGACAATAAGGTCAAATCGGATGTTTGATACAAGAGATTATTTTGTTATGTATTTTCTCAATTTATATTTAACACACAATAAGTTATGACTTGTCTGAACAAAACGATTATACTGTTAATAACTACGAACAATGTTTTCATTTATCTCTGATTCAGATATAGTAGATTACATGTGCATATGCAGGTAAATTCAAAGGAATTAGCACGATTTCCGGCATTGATTCTTGGTTTGGTGAAAGTATCAAAAATTCGTAAGGGTTCCGCTGAACCCAATGTCTCGCCTACTTTTGCTGTTAATCGCAGGCTCAACAAAAATGAGGAAAAAAATCAATAAAAATATTCCTTTAGATACTATCCTTTGATTGTAAGAAGCTTCTGTCAAATTTTGGTATAAATCCAGGATAGTTCATGAATCTAATAAATGTTTTAAAAACTTGAACTGCAGACTGTATTTAATGTTAACTGGAAGAAAAACTAAGTCTATTTATAAGTAAAATACGGATAAACAGGTACAAAATTTTAACAAAATTTCCGTCTAGATACTAGCTTTTGATCATAAACAAGCTTCTGTCCAAGTTTTGTACAAATCCAGGATAGTTTAAGAAAGTTATTAAAATTTTAAAAACTTTAACCACAGAGTGAATGTATTGTTTCCTGGCAGAAAAAAACTAAGTCCATTTATAAGTAAAATACGGAAAAAACGAAATTTTGTTTTAACGAATTTACTTCTGGATACTATCTTATGATCATAAACAAACTTCTGTCCAAGTTTGGTACAAATCCAGGATAGTTTAAGGAAGTTATTAAAATTTTAAAAACTTTAACCACAGAGTGAATGTAATGTTTCCCGGCAGAAAAACTAAGCCCATTTACAAGTAAAATATGGAAAAACAGGAATTTTATTTTTTCAAATTTACTTCTGGATACTATCTTATGATCATAAACAACCTTCTGTCCAAGTTTGGTAGAAATCCAGGATAGTTTAAGAAAGTTATTAAAACTTCAAAAACTTTAACCACAGAGTGAATATTTGTGGACGCCGCCGACGACGACGACGACGCCGACGGAATGTAGGATCGCTATGTCTCACTTTTCGACTAAAGTCGAAGGCTCGACAATAATGTATAATAGTTTTCGATATTGTTTTGTGAAATATCAGAATAAGAAATTAGCAGTATGAACCATTAGAATGCAAGTAATTTATGATAAATTTACAAATTTAAATCAAACATCAAGTTCATTAGTTGCTATTGGCTTTGAACTTGTTTTTAGTAACTGCCAATCTGATGAGTGAAGCCACTTCCAACTGATCTTATTTTGTGCTGTTGGACCATTGTCCCAGGTTAGGGGACGAATATTGAACGCTCACAAACGTTGTTTAACCTACCATATTATATATATGTGTCTTAAGTCAGGAGCCTTAATTCAGTGGTTGTCATTTGTTGTTATCTGTCATATTTGGTTTTGGTTTATTGTTTTGTCTTTAATCATGCCTTTGGTTTTTTCTTTGAATCGATAAGCATTTTGACATGTCGGAGTCTTTAATAGCTGATTATACGGTATGGGTTTTGCTCATTGTTTCAGGCCCAACGGTGACCTTTAGTTGTTCAAATCTACTTCATTTTGGACTCTAGTTGATAGTTTCATTGCCAATCATACATCATATCAATGATTAGTCATATAACATATGACCTCAGAGACAGTTTTTTTCTTTTTCTGCTTGTTTTCTAATATTTTCGTTTTACTTATTTTGCTATTTGTTATCTTTTCTTTTTCTGTTTGCTGTTTTTACTATTAAAAAAAAATGAAAAATGAACAATGATATAAATTTTGTCAATATAACGGAACTAAAACAACTGGCATACAAGTGGGAGGTTAAGCTAGCTAAAAAACCAGGTTTAACCTACCATTTTCTTCGGAAAATACCTGTACTATGTCAGGAATATGACAGTTGTTTTCCATTTTTTCAGGTGGTTGATAGAGTCTTACGTTTGATTTTGTCAGTTTTTATGGACTTCCCCTTTTTGAATTTATCTTGGAGTTCACTATTTTGTTATACTTTGTATTCATACGTTACATCTGTAAAACATACGTCTCACGCATGTTTTACGGATGTTTAAGTATGGGTCAAACATCTATGAACTGACATTCAGATCACAATGCAATTTTTTGATACGTTCGCTAAAGCAACGCGTGGTTATTGGCTATTTTACATAGAGCTGGTTTCGTGTTCCTCTAGGGAACGTGTATCATACAAAAAACTGTTACACCTATGACAGAGTTATGAAATTTAATATTCAATTAAAATGGCGTCAAGCGACATGCCAAATAACACTCCACATAAACGATAGCCTTGAGAGAATTGACGAGAGATTTTCATCACTAAGAGGTTCTGAACAAAACAAAAAAATTATCTAACACAGGCACTAAATTTTCGTTTAACGAAATTCAAAAATCCGGAAGAAAACCTTTTCTATGCTATAATGCTATTTTTCCGGCCATACATAACAATGAATAATGAATATGTTTTTGATTAAGTGGTTATTTGAATCATCCAGTAGAGAATGTAGTGGTAATAAAATTTACTTCCATGCAAACACTTAAGAATTGGAATTATTAAATTTTTGCACGTTCTAGAGGAGGACGTTACTAGTTATAAGCTCAAGTTAAACGTTCTGGAAAAAAGTAATAATGAACAAAAATAAAATAAAATCAGAATTACAATGGTAATAACCTCCCCACGTACAAACTTCAATTTATTCTACCATTGGCTATATATTTCTTTGGAACACGCCTATTCTCCATATATATAAGCAGCTAGTTAAGAGAGATAAAAAAAAAGTACCAACACCATCGATTGATATGCAGCAGACTCTTTTGAATTTAAGTCACTTTGCTAAGAATTGTGCAAACAAACTTTCCATTTACAATAAAAATGCAAATACATTTACGTCATAGTATACAGCATCATCAGTCTTTATACTAACTTCTAAGGGAATGTGGGTAAAAAATGCCTCTCCCTTTTTTATGTTCTACATTTGAATTTCCTGCAAGATTAGGCCTGAGTTGGAAAAGCAGTTCTAACAATCATAAGCACCTGTGAGTTATGGCTTTAATGGACATCTATTCCTACAGAAGGTTCCAAATTTATGCAAATTTTCAAAAATTTAATAATAAGAAAAAATTTTAAAAATGTTTTGATGAATCACATATTTTATTATTTTCAAAATTTGACAACTTTTAAACTGTCTTAAATATCAAACTATCGAAATCACGCAATAAATTTCTGTTTTTTTATTTTATCTTTTGATCTTTTGATTACTGTTTAATGATGTATAAAATGATATAGCTTATAATAGCCGGGTGTAATTTTGTTTAAAGTGTTTGTCAAATGGATATATAGGACTTTGTCAAACTGAAGGGATATTGATGATGTTTTGGATTGGAAGGATTAATTAAACAGGGAAGATCAAAATAAATAAATAATGGCGTAAACATAACGAGTTTGGAGTGTACATGCTAAAACAGAAGACATGTATTTTAGAACCAATGAAGCCTTTGAAGGTTGTTGTAAATAGATGCATAGATGCATAGAAGTTGTCAAGAAGAAAATTGACAGGTCTTATCATTTCTTCACAGTTCCAGTTACATTTAGTATATTTATCTTTTTCATTATAGAGGATGCTCTTTATGAGTTGCAGAAAATATATATGCGGAAAAATTACTCGAAGGACAATCTGAAATTAATATTTACTATACTGTATGAACTATCAACTACGAAAAATCTTTGTTGGCGTCTTTGGCTGATGAATCCCAATTATTGGGAAAGTATATCAGCTACAAAAGCCATTCTTTTTTGTTGGCGTCTTTGTCTGATTTATTTTTATGTGTTTTTGAATATTCTTTTTAATCGGTTGTGTTTGTACTGTCTGTATCAAGTCAGGAATATGACAGTTGTTTTCCATTCGTTTGATGTGTTTGAGCTTTTATTTTTGCCATTTGATAAGGGACTTTCCGATTTGAATTTTCCTTGGAGTTCGGTATTTTTGTTGTTTTTTGTATGTGTGTAATGTATGTTTACATATTTTGGCCTCTGGATCCCAATTATTGTCACGTTTTCCAATTATGTCTATTTGGATTACCCATCCAAATTTATCAATACAACGGAACTATATACAACTGTCATACAAGGTTTCACTAGCTATAAAACAAGGTTTAACCACCATTTCTGGTCCGAGGACGTAGTTATCGTACTTTGACAAATATAGTCCCCAGTGTGGACAGTGTTTAACTTGCAAATTTTTTCATACACTTCCCAAATTGATTTCTTTATATTTTATGAATGAAATATTAAGAAGGGGGGGGGGGGTGAAATTACATGTAAAAAATGTGGGTGATGAATTTTTATGTAAAGTAGTGGTTTGGTCCAGTTAAAAAAGGTCAAAAATTAGTATGTCTGAAGCTGTCAAACTGATTTATAGACCCCCTTAACATAGAATTGTCCATATTTTGAGTAAGAGCTGGTAGACTTTTCTATAATTTTGATATTATTTGTCCCAAAAGTACTACATCACACTGTAAAAATCTTTTTGAGATAGAGCAGGTGCGATTTTAATTTTAATTTATTGTCTAAAAGAAATGCACTACGAAATAACTGTGTTCTCAGGCCTTCTTCAGAAAATATCTGTACCAAGTCAGGAATATGACAATTGTTTACCATTCGTTCCTGTGGTTGGTTTTCCATTCGTTCCGTTGGTTGATATAGTCAAGCGTTTGATTTGTCAGGTTTCATGGGCTTCTCCCTTTATTAACATTACCTTGGAGTTCGGTGTTGTTGTTAATATTTTTTTGGTTACATAGCTTGTGTCCAATAGGAGTGTGTGAAATTTAGTAAAATAGTAGAGTAGTCGTTACCGTCAATGGAATGGAAATAACTATTAGGAGCAAATAACTTATCATACACATCCAAAAAATGTTGAGCTAACAAAACTAATTGATTCCATTTGTTACATAAGTTCTTAAACAACAAAAATTCTTCACTTATAGTAGTCAGCTTTTTCGAAAAAGGAAGACAATTTTCTATTTCGTGCAAATTTAGATTTTTCATAATTTATTGCATATGGAGTATGTTGCACCAGTTAGGATACAAACTGTCTCACATTTAATGCCTTAGCATACTTGGTTGTTTCATGTACCCGAACAATTTTCAGCATGAAGTACAATACAAAACTACAATTACTTCTATTACTCACTATTCCTTACTTTATTTGACTACATATCTCTTTCAACTTTTTCTCACTTTGTTTTAGCTTAGAATCTTTAACTTTGTCGCTGTGATCGCTTAGCATGTTAGTCGATTCAGTTTTAGGGTGTATTGAAAGAATGTTGGGAAATATAACGTAATAGAATAAGATTTTTTTAAGGAAAGGAAATGGAATACCATTTTGACTGTTAAAAAGACTACTAGTATTTCATTGTAAAATTGCGGCATAATATAACAATGTGTAAAGTTTGAAGGTACCAGAAACAAATAATACCTACTTCTGTACATACCATTTGAGGTCAGCCTACCATGTGTAGAAAAAAATTTCCACTGGTGCTAAACGACCAACTGATGATGGATTAAGGTAACCCAAATAACGATTAGCAATAAAATTTGCTTAAATTAACGATAACAATAAATATTTTATTCCATGTAACGACTACGGTAACAGACAAATGCGATTTGTAGAACGACAATATTTTTAGGCTTATTTGATGATAACAATAACTTGTAAAGAGAGCGTTTAAACTTGACTGTAAAGACCATTCCCACCCTCCTGAATTTCAAAAAAGTTAAAAAACCTAGACCTAGAGCAAGACCAATCTTTTTTGTTACTATTTTGTGTAAACATGAACATTTTAGTAAAGCACCTTTTTCTTCTGTATTCGTGTCATTGGTCCATTGTACATTACATTTTTCTGATAAATATTTATTAAACTGAATAAAACCTCACCAATGATACTGTACTCGCAATCTATTCACCATACACTATGTGTAAAATAGGAACATCTTATAATAAGTAACTGTATTTTATTTAAGGAATGACTGTAATATTTTTTCTGTCTATGAAGAAATAACATAAAAAATGTGGTGCACACTGAATAATCCGTGCCAAGACTAAATTCAAAATTGCCAAGATGTTAGAAACGTAACAATATTTCGACGTCACAATATAGTTATAATCTTCGACGACATTGACGTTCTGTCGCACCTGTTTCATACGTTCGCATATAGTGTTTGATTTTTTAAAATATTTAAACAGCCAAAATTGAATTGACTCAGAATACGTATAAATTGTGGTCTCGAATCCTGTTTTTTTTTACTCTCCCGTTGAACCATAATATATGAAAACTTGATGTTAAAAATGTCAAAACAACAAAACAAAACAAAAGTTTTGATAAATACTAGACAAAGGTTTCATGATTGTGATTAACAAGCTAAAGCAAATCTCCATATCAAAATTACGCTTTTTTTATGGTTCTTTAGTTGTTTTAAATTTCCGTATTTTTTTGGCACGTTATAACACTTTAGGAAAGCAACAAAGCTAAAACATTAAAAACAAAAAACACTACATGTACACATCTACAAGAAGAAATGTTGAGTTCGCCGAAGAGACATTGACTAGATTATTTTCCACTGACAAGTTATTTTGCTACAGTCAGCACGTGACTCTGTAATCATTCCGTTGAGTAACCGTTTTTTTTAATTTTCATATTGCAATATAGGTCCAGTGAAATATTAGAAATTATTCGAATACTAATGTACAGGCAGTTTGCAGATTAAAGTAAGCAAAAGAATAACAACCTCATAATTGTGATTAAACTAAACTTTTAGTTTGTAGGTTTTATTCTCAATTGGAAATGAATTACCACTGGTAAACTAAGTGAAAGAATGGTCTGCATCTATTCCTAAATGAATGTTTCTAATACTATATACAAGTGCCATTTTTTCTACTTCTACTTCTACTTTGTAGTGACCGGCTTCAACACGTTAAAGTTTATGTCACTTGTACTACGCATTGCTTTGTGGAGACGTATATACAGTGAAAATTTAACAATTTTATAATTATAAACAAAACTGGTAATAACATTTTTACATAGTGGTAGTGCATACTTTTATTTAATCTATTTTTTAATATTAAGATAAAACTATTTACACATGATGAATTTACTGACTGTAGGTGTAGGTTGAGATGGCTGCTTTGAACGACTCTATAGAGTCGCTCATTACAATACTCAGAGGAAGGCTGGTCCAGTTTTTAATTGTTCGTGGAAAAAATGATTGTTGGCGTATTTGTGTTCTGCAGGATGGAATTTGGTATGCGAGTGTGTGCATATTCACGGACTGTCTGAGCGGTTGTATTAGTCTGTCTGTTTTTGTGATTGCGATGAGATGATATGTGATTTTATAAAACATGACAAGGCGTGCATCTGGTTTTCTATTTGCGAGGTCTCTCCATTTTAAATGATCTATCATGTCACTAACACTTAGGGTGTTTCTGTGTCGGTTAGTGACAAACCTAGCAGCCCTTCTTTGCACCTTTTCTAGTTTGTTTATATCCTCAGTAAAGTAAGGTAAAAATGTATAAAGTATAAGCATATTAAGTCCCATATCAATCTGGCCGGCAATCTGTTCTTCAGTCCCAGGTGTTGACCGGAGTGTATATAAATGTGGACCCCTTTTAGATTTCTTATGCCTGCAAATCATGAATGTGGATGACATTTTTAAGCAGTACTTTAATTAATTTTAATCTTTTAGCTTTCCCATTGTATTTGTTCAATAAATATGAACATCTAAAACTTATTTCGAAGCCTTAAAAAAGATCGCTATAGACAAAAAAAGTCAAGGAAATTCTTGATGTTTCTTTGTTGGTGATATTTCTATTTTAATCGTCGTTGAATGTGAAGCCAGGCAAATTGGATTTAAATATTTGCGAAATCTTAAGTTAACATAACACTGATTTTGTTGGAAAATATAAATTGTAATTTAAAATTTTAAGTTTCATTCGAAAAATAAAACAAGAAAAAATATGACAGTTGAATGTTTTAAGCTGTACAACTTTTAATATTAATTTTACTTATACAAATCGTCATGAGGCCGGCCGAAATAAATTTATCTTTACTCGTATCAACGAAAATGCATTTGTAAGATTTTGATAATAGGATTGGTAAGCGTTTTACAGTTTATTTCATAGATAAATAAATCTAAATCCTATATTTCATCTTTGTTCTTTGGTTGAAGATTATACTATTGACTTCCATACCAGTCTTTTTATGAATTAATGAAGATGTAGGCACACTGTTCGTTCATTTTTTGGTAGCAGGGTTTATAAATGAATTGTTTGATTGCAAATGACTTGATAAAATATTTCAGAAGTTAAATGGAAAAGAGTTGTTTTCATTGAAAATTAGGGAAACAATTATTTAAACTTTCAGTTTTCAATAAAAAAAGTTCTTTTCCTGTATGTTACTGAAAGCAATTGTTTTCAACTA